ATAGGAAAGACTTAACACGGTTTATTGTGTTTCCTGCTGCCGTCACTTTGCCACTTTTCCTCCTGGTATAAAATTAAGAAAACTGAGTTGGTTTCCCAAACATCTAGTCAATTTCTGTATACAGGGGCCCAAATAATAGCAGCAAACTGCCAGAACGGATGACAAAGGTGCAAGGAGCATAAACGGTGAGGTGCAGGGTGACCGGGTCTGTGCACGAAGGCAGAGCAATACTCCGAATCCTCTCTGTTGCCAGGAGGCTGTGCCAACTACCAACATAAGTGGCTATAAAATAATGCAATGACCTGTGGCTTATGCACCCAGTTTTACTACGTTCCAGTCCTATTTCATAATTTTCCAATGATTTACATTATCAATAAAAATGACCACATAAATGGATATTACTTTTCCTCAACTTTTCCATTTCAGTCTTTAGCAGAGAGACAACCTGAGGCAATGGTTCTCAACCTTCAGTGCAAATGAAGCCTGGATGCCTCCCTAACACCTATGGAACAGAACTGCCAGAAAGCAGAGCATGTGCACCTTGAAAATCACTGGTTTTGGGTCTATGCAGTTGCCACCCCTAGTTCCACCTTTCTGTTTAGACACTTTTCCTGTATCACCTTGTAAGTGGAGGGAGGGGGGAGTGTTGAAAATGAAGGAAATAAGATGGCTATTATTGTTATTATTATATTATTATTATTAAACAGTAGAACGGATGCATAATGAATCAAAACAGACACATACTGTCCTTTTAAAGAGAAAGAGCTTTCAGGCCAGTAAGTCAACATAGTTTTCAGACATTTAAAAGACACTTTTTCTTAAAAGGGAAGCTTGTTTATCCAGAAATCCAGCATGCACTACAGATAAGGCAGAGTGTACCTGGCTAACGAGAGAGGTCAAGGGTCATCCGTGCACCTGACACGCCACCTGCTTGCTCCTTGCCTCCTTCCATTTACACGCATGCACACACACCCACTGAAATTTTGGGAGGTCGTTTAGCCATGAAATCATGGAACAGTGTCCAAGCGCAAAGGCAGCCCATCCGAACACCATCTAGGAGGATAGTTTTAATCAAAATAATTCCCAGATTTCGCACCCCAGTGGCAAGGCCTTTCCTACTAAGGACATATACACAATAAGTTGCAACAAACAGACTTTTAATCTTTTTACACCTTTGGCAAGACCATCTCTGTTGTGAAATGGATTCATCTTAGCCCGATGCCTTTAATTGCTGGATTTCTCTACGTTCCTTTGTTCTGATTCCATGCTTACCAAGCAACTCAGCAATTCATAAACTAGAGTTCCATTTGACCCCCCAGGCAGGTTTTCCAGTAGGGAAGAAGAGCCCCTCATACCAACGCAAGTGTTCCATACCGCGAGACTGCCGGATTTTGCGCTGGAAATCAGTCCACTTGCTGCTTTGTCTCTGCACTGGTCCTCGGAAGATGGGGTTCCCTGAATCCACCACTAGAAGGGGGAGCTGAGCCTCTGGGCTGTGACGAAGGCCACCTTGTGCAGCCCCCTGGAAGCCTGGCGGCCTTCCCCAGGCAACCCGCCCTGACTCCGCCACTGGCCAACTGAGGCCACTTTTCCAATTTGACTTTTTGACGTTTTCGACACAGAGCAATGCCACACTCTTTCATTTCTCCCTCAAAATGAGTGCATCTTACCTGACAAACCAAGCACCGAAACTGCTTTCTGAAAGCCTCTGCCCTCCACAAGCAGCTCGTGCGTGGGCCCTTCCCACATTCCCATCACTACAAGGCCTGCGTCTGTCTAGTGACGATGGCTCCATCCCTGCTCTTAGCCACTTCAACACCCACACAGATGGACCACTTTATAGCAAAACCTCTTGAAAGAACCATTGAAACACAAGG